CCTGGGCCCTCCCCGGGGGTCCATCCCGCGCGGCCCTTCGCCCCGGATCGAGCTTCGAGGGCCCCAGGGCCCGAAAAGGCAGCCCCCCGGGGCCGAAAACACAAGGAAAGACCGCTCAGAGCCAGGAACCTCCGGGCTCGAGCCTCTCACTTTCCCCCCTCTCGCTCGCCGCCGATGCCACGCGCTGGACCTCTGGGTTCCCAGAGAGCCGACGTCGTGATTTGTTCCATGCGCGGTCCCCGGAAGTCTCGACCCATTCCCCAGGAACGGCTTCTCATCCTGAGTCGCTCTTTGACGGCCCCGAGGCCCGGTGAAGGCCCCCAGAGGCCGACACTTGCGAAAAACCTCCGCCTTGATATTTTGTTCAAGACGTTGGAACTCTGGGGATCTGGGGGTTCCACGCGTTGGATCTCTGGGCTCTCGCCCCGCCCGTGAATTAGGAGGGGTCCAGGCTCAAACCTCCAAGCTCGAGCCTCTCACTTCGGAGCTCGAACCCCGAACCCGAGCCTCGAACCTCCAAGCTCGAACCTCCAAGCTCGAACCTCTCACTTCCCCCTCTCTCGCTCGCCGCCCTTCCCACGCGTTGGACCTCTGGGTTCTCGCCCCGCCCGGCAGGAGGTCCAGGAGGAGGAGGGGGATGAGGAGAAGGAGGAGGAGGAGGAGGAGGACGGACGAGGACGGACGAGGAGGAGGACGGAGGACGGAGGAGGAGGACGGAGGACGGAGGAGGAGGACGGAGGACGGAGGAGGGAGGAGGACGGAGGACGGAGGAGGCCTTCGCCCTTGCCCGCCAGGAGGTCCAGGCCCCCGACGAGCCCGACGCTGCGCCCGCCCCGGGCGCGGCGCCGCCCCGGCGGGCCGGAGCGCCTGGGGCCGGCGGCGCCCTGGGCGGCGCCCTGGGCGCGCTGCTGCGGGCGAGCGTGGGCGGCGCGCCCGGCGGCTCCTGTGGTCGACGGACATTCTAGGCCTCCCTCTCCTCCTCCTCCTTCTTCTCCTCCTCCTCCTCCTCGTCCTCCCTCCTCCTCCTCCTCCTCCTCCTCCTCCTCCTCCTCCTCCTCCTCCTCCTCCTCCTCCTCCTCCTCCTCCTCCTCCTCCTCTTCCTCCCCCTCCTCCTGCTCCTCCTCCTCCTCCTCCTCCTCCTTCTTCCTCCCCCTCCTCCTGCTCCTCCTCCTCCTCCTCCTGCGGTCGGAGTAGACGGGGTCGGAGGATCGCGCCGCATCGCCGATGCATCGCCGATGCGGCTCGATGTGGAGCCCGATTTTCTTCACGCCGACGTCGCCGATGCATCGCCCACGTCGCCGATGCATCGCCTGAGCATCGCCTGAGCATCGCCGATGCATCGCCGACGCATCGCCGATGTATCGGCGATGCGGCGCGATCCTTCGACCCCCTCTACTCGGACGCCATCTAGGAGGCTTCTAAACACGCAAGCCCAAAGATCCAACGTATTGAACAAATCACGACGGGGGGGGGTGGGCAGTTTTCGGCCCGGGCCCTCGCCAGGCCCTCCCTGGGAGCGTCAAAAAATTGCTCAGGAGGAAGAACTGAGAGGCTCGAGCTTGGAGGTTTGAGCCTGGACCCCTCCTAATTCACGGGCGGGGCGAGAGCCCAGAGATCCAACGCGTGGAACCCCCAGATCCCCAGAGTTCCAACGTCTTGAACAAAATATCAAGGCGGAGGTTTTTCGCAAGTGTCGGCCTCTGGGGGCCTTCACTGGGCCTCGGGGCCGTCAAAGAGCGACTCAGGATGAGAAGCCGTTCCTGGGGAATGGGTCGAGACTTCCGGGGACCGCGCATGGAACAAATCACGACGTCGGCTCTCTGGGAGAGTGATTTCCTCGAGTCGTGAAAAATCACGACGGCAGGTTTTTCGCTGTTTTCAGCTTCTGGAGGCCCTCATTGGGCCTCGGGACTGTCAAGAAACGACTCAAGACGAAAAGCCGGTCCCGGGGAATGGGTCGAGACCTCATCATGCACGACGTCGGGGGTCTGGGTCGGGGGGGCCCTGAGATCATGGCGTCGCAGTTTTTTCGGGCTGGGCGGGTTCGCCTTTTTGTCGGCCCCCGGGACCCTTGCAGATCGATCCGAATCGAGAAATGACGCCGACAGTTGGAGTCCAGGGTGCCCGGCATGATCTTATGCGATGTGGCAACTTTCTCGCCACGTCGGATCTCGGGGGGGGATGGGCTCAGGGGTTCGGGGGTCGAGATTTTCGGGCGTGTCCGTCGGCTCTCGGCGGCCTTCGAGACTCGCGGTGCTTTCCGGCAGCTGCGCCTCGCCGAGAGCATTCGGGGGTGCCGGGATCGTCCAGCACGGCCGCCGGAAAGCCGAGTTGGGACCCGAAGATTGGACGATGAGGATACTTGTCGGGGAAACGCAGGGCGTGAGTACGCCGGACCTCGGGTCTGCCGGCGCTTTTTGACGAGCCCAGCCTGGACTGTGGCGGTCCAGTGTTCCCAGGATGTTTGCAGCGGAAGGTCGCGTCAAGTTGCAGATGGGGTCTCGTACCTTTCTTGACGGCCTCGCCAGGCCAACCCGAGCCCCCCGTACCCGAGTCTTACGTCTCCCCGATCCTTGGCATCGCTCGGACGTGTGCATTTCTTTCTCGGCGAGGAGCATCGAGGAGCATCCTTGATCATTTGGCGAAAAACCCGCATGAAACTGAAAAAAAACAGAGGGAGTGGACGTCCAAGCGATGGCGAGGATTGGGGTGGGTGGGTTCCGGGGGGGATGCAACGACCTTCCGAGCGCTCATCTTCTTCACCGATGGAGGCCCGATGGCCCACCCCGCCCTGGAACGCGAGGGGAGGTGCTGCAGAGGGCCTGTGATCGAACCCCACCCCCGGGGAGTCCAGCACCGATCCGAGAGACCCGCGCACTGATTGGTCTGCTTCCATCTTCCCTCCTCCTCCCTCCTCCTCCCTCCTCCCTCCTCCTCCCTCCTCCTCCCTCCTCCCTCCTCCCTCCTCCCTCCTCCCTCCCCCTCCTCCCTCATCCTCCCTCCTCCTCCCTCCTCCTCCCTCCTCCCCGTCGCGCTCCCGCACGCACGGGATAGCGAGCGGGGACAATGGCTGACAGCAGCTCCTGGCGGTACTGACCAGGAGCCGCCGTCGCATTGACTCCCTGCGAGCCCCTGCCCACACACGACGAGCGTCGCCTGCCCAGCAGCGAGGACGTCGCCTTTGCACACCGCTTGCCGCTCGGCATCGCCTCCCCTGGTAACGAACATCGCCTGCCCGGCAGCGGCCGCAGTCATGTTTGGGGAATGGTTGCCGCTCGGCATCGTCTCCCCTGTCGCTATCTGCCTTTCGGGCGTGCCCAGGTTCGCTGCCCGCCGAAGGGTCGCTGGCCTACGTCGAGTTCCCCTGCGGAGGGCACGCCGGTGGCGCGCGCGCGGAGGCGCCGCCGGGGCGGACGACCACGACAGCATCGACGACGACGTCGACGACGACGACGACGACGACGACGACGACGACGACGACGACGACGGCGGCGGCGACGACGACGACAACGACGACGACGACGACGACGGCGACGACGACGACGGCGGCGACGACGATGACGGCGACGACGACGACGGCGGCGACGGCGACGACGACGACGTCGTATCTTCAAGTGGACAGCCGGCGTCCTGCCAGGACGTCTTCGAGGCGGGTGCGGCCGCGGAGGGACGACGACGACAACGACGACGACGACGACGACGGCGACGACGACGACGGCGGCGACGACGATGACGGCGACGACGACGACGGCGGCGACGGCGACGACGACGACGTCGTATCTTCAAGTGGACAGCCGGCGTCCTGCCAGGACGTCTTCGAGGCGGGTGCGGCCGCGGAGGGCGCCGCGGTGGCGTGCTGCGGCGTGAGGCACTTCGACGCGGACGTCGAGGAGGGCGAGGACGCCCAGGGGGGGCGGCGCTCTTCTTTCGCCGCTGGCGGACACTGCGGGCACAAAAATGGCATAAACATAAACACTCGGAGGTCCGCGCGGATTTCTCGGATCGGCGCTGGACACCCCTCCCTGGCGCGCGGAGCGCGCCAGGGGCGGCGCCGGAGGCGCCGCCGGGGGGCCCCAGCGCCGATCCGAGAAATCCGCGCGGACCTCCGAGTGTTTATGTTTATGCCATTTTTTGTTTCCCTATTATTTGTTACGTCTTCGGAAGTTATCGGGCCACCAGGCGCCTCCCAGCAGGAGCGACTCGGCAAGAGAGTTCTGGGGGTGCCAGGGTCATGCCGAAAGGCCGCCAGAGGTCGGAGATGTGGCCAGCAAACCAACCGGGGGGTGGTCAGCGCTAGCGGGAGCCTGCCAGTCCCCTTTGATCCCCTCTGGCTGACCCAGGCTTGGGAGCGGTCAGCAGGGGTTCACGACGTGCCCTCATTTGAACCAGATTAGGAGTGACGCAGGTTAGCGCGTTCCCGACCTCCTCCTACTCCTCCTCCTCCTCTTTTTAACGCTACCCCGACGTAAGCGAGCAGATACCGTTGCGTCTGTTGAGTCCTCCTCCCCCTCAGGGCAGATGGTGGGTTTGGCGCGAACCACTGGATAGATATCGCGCCCAACGTCAGGAGAAGGGGAAGGAGAGACGGCGATTGGAGGCAACCGGGCGAAAACCCGTAAAACAATCCCAATTAGAGAAGATCAGCCATCTCGATGATCAGCCGCGATCAACCATCCCAAGCATCAACCGCGAAGGTCAGCGGCAAACATCCTGCTGACCTTCCCACTCCCCTTCCCCTGCTCCTCCTCCTCCTCCTGCTCCTCCTCCTCCTCCTCCTCATGCTCCTCCTCCTCCTCCTTCTCCTCCTGCTGCTCCTCCTCCTCCTGCTGCTCCTTCTCCTCCTCCTCCTCTCCTACCTCCTACTCCTTCCCTGCTCCTCCTCCTCCTCCTCCTCCTCCTCCTCCTCCTCCTTCTGCTCCTCCTCCTCCTCCTTCTTCCCCTCCCTTCCCCATCATTCCTTATCCGTCCTCCCTTCTCCCTCCTCCTCCCCACGGCCTTCGTGGCTCGAGCCGGCCCAGCCGAGGCAACAGGGCAAGCATCTGGCCAGCGGCGCCCCGCAGAGGGATGACCACCCGCTACAAGAAGAACCGCCACCTGCGCGGGGCGATCTCGGCCGGGCGCGGGCGCATCGGGAAGCACCGCAAGCACCCAGGCGGGTGCGGCAACGCGGGAGGCCAGCACCACCACCGCATCAATTTCGACAAGTACCACCCGGGCTACTTCGGCAAGGTCTGCGAGGGGAGGTCGGCGGCGCACCCCGGGGGGGAGCGAGAAGGAGGATGCCTTCTCAGAAGGCTCGGAAGTCCCCCGGCTTTCTGATAAGTTTTCGAAGCCTTCCCGGAAGACACCGCAGATTCCTCCGGCGGCGCGAGGGCTTCTGAGAAGTCCCGCCGCCTTCTGAGAAGGCCTTCTCATTCTCGATTCCCCTCTCCCCCGCCGCCGGACAAAGAGCCTCAACGACACGCCGCCGTTTCGGGAGTCCGTCGCCGTGCTGGTCCTTCCCCGTTGTCCAGAGGCCTGGTGCCTCTTCGGCCTCCTCGCGGTGGAGAACTGCCCGAGACGTACCCAAAACCTTTCTGCACGTGATGCGAGTGCCAACGTGAACTCTCCCTACAAAAGAACACGCTGCGACATGCGCAACACTCAGGAAGGCGATACATTGTCGGACCACGCACGTCGCACACCTGCGCAACATAGAACGGGGGACAAACGTGGAGGAAGAGCAGGAGGAGGAAGAGGGTGAGGAGGACAAGGAGGATTGCGAGGGAAGAGGAGACACGCTGGTGAGAGTAACAGCGCCATGCGCTACATCTGCTCCGTTCGCCCGCGCTGCCGCTGCAGTTGACGGGCCTGAGGAGGGAGGGAGTGGACCACTAACGGCAGCGCCATGCGCTACGAGACGTTCCAGCGCCCTGCGCTCTGTGATGCAACAGCGCCGCGTGCTGACTGAGGCCACCCTCCCAGGGAGCAGCGAAGTCCCGTCCGGATGCGCGTAGCCCCCGATTCCTCGAGGCCTCCCAGGAGCCCACGAGAGTCGCGACAGTCGCGCAGTTAACAGCCACCCAGGGAGCAGCGAGGTTTCGTCTGGGCCCGCGTGCCCCCCGACCCCGCCCGACCTCCCAGGAGCCCACGAAAGTGGCAACAGTCGCGCAGTTCGCAGCCTTCCAAGGAGCAGCGAGGTCCCGTCTGGGTGCGCGTGCCCCCCGGCTCCGCTGGACCTCGCAGGGGTCGTGTGGGCCCGCGCGCCTCCGGACTCCACTGGACCTCCCAGGAGCCCACGAAAGTTGCGACAGTTGCGCAGCTCGCAACCTGCCAGGGAGCATCGAGGTCCCGCGTGCGTCCGCGTGCCCCCCGACTGCGCTGGACCGCCGACGGGCCCGCGACAGTGGTGATAGTTGCGCAGTTAAAGAGCCACCCAGGGAGCAGCGAAGTCTCGTCAGGGTGCGCGGCCCGCGTGTCCCACCACTTCGCTCGACCCCCCACGAGCCCACGAAAGTTGCGACAATTGCGCAGTTCGCAGCTACTTGGGGAGCAGCGAGGTTCTCGTCTGTGCGCGCGTGCCCCCCGCCCCGCTGGACCTGTCAGAAGCACACGAAAGTGGCAACAGTCGCGCAGTTCGCAGCCTTCCAGGGAGCAAGCAGCGAGGTTCCCGTCTGGGCGCGCGTGCCCCCTGGTTCCGCTGGACCTCGCAGGGGCCCACCAAAAAGCCGACTATTGTGCACGCAGCCAACCAACGAGCAGCGAGGTCTCGTCTGGGCCCGCGTGTCCACTGACTCCGCCGGAGCTCCCAGGAGCCCACGAAAGTGGCGACAGTCTCGCATGTCGCGGCCACCCAGGGAACAGCGAGGTCTTGTCTGGGCCCGCGTGCCCCCCCGACCCCTTTGGACCTCCCACGGGCCCACCAAAGTGGCGACAGTCGCGCAGTTCGCAGCCAACCAAGGAGCAGCGAGGTCGTGTGGGTGCGCGTGCCCCCCGATTCCGCTGGACCTTCCAGGGGCGGACGAAAATGGCGACAGCTGTTCAGTTCACAGCCAACCCAGGGAGCAGGCAGGAGGAGGCAGGAAGAGGGGGGAGGAGGAGAGGAGTGGAGACCACGGTGCTCTACGTATTCAAACCGAGAACCCAACACGGGCGGGTTGCGAAAAAAACTGTTTGAAGCCCGCGCGGGTTTCGTGGGTGGGCGTTGGGCCCCACTGGCGGCGCCTCCAACGCCGTTTTTGGCGCGTTCCGCGCGCAAGGGATAGGGGCCCATCGCCGATTCAAGAGACCCGCGCGGACCTCCGATAGTGTATGTTTATGCAGTTGCTTCTATCTCCGAGGTTTTATGATGCTCCAATCGGCTTTAGCTTTGATCACCAGAAAGAATTTCGAGCACCAAGACAGTTCCGAAACTTGATGATTTTCACGTGTCGGGCCCTGGGAGGCGACACTCGTTCGACACTGGTTCGACACCTTCCTGGGTGTTCGATGTTTTCTGGGATGTGGTCCTTAAGTACAATGGGAGCAACACGATCCGAGGTGGGCATGCGCAACTTCCACCTGATCAAGCACGGCAAGGTGTGCCCCCTCATCAACGTGGACAAGCTCTGGTCTCTGGTCCCCGAAGGCACGCGGGAGCAGTTCGCGGCAAAGAAGGACAAGGCTCCGCCGGGAGGACTAAGGCGGAGGAGGAGGAGGAGGAGGAGGAGGAGGAGGAGGAGGAGGAGGAGGGGGAGGAGGAGGAGGAGGAGGAGGAGGAGGAGGAGGAAGAAAGGAAAAAGGAGGAGGAGGAGGAGGAGGTGTTATAACATAGCTTAACGACTGGTTGAGGAACTCATCATAACGTTAGGGTCGGACGGTTGTTGTTACCAACGCCGTTTGGATCAAGTACCCATCAGCAGATCGTTTCGCGAGTTTGGCGTTAAAACATATATCCCATTACCGTTGAATGGTTCCCGTGCAGATCCTCCTCGGGAATTTGTAGGAGGAGGATGAGGAGAAGGAGGAGGGAGGAGGACGTAGGAGGGAGGAGGGAAAGGCTCCCGTGATCGACGTGATGAAGGCGGGCTACATGAAGGTTTGCGGCAAGGGCCAACTGCCAGAGCAGCCCTTGATCGTGAAGGCGCGCTACTTCACGAAGGAGGCCGAGGTCAAGATCAAGGAGGCAGGGGAGATCAAGGAGGCAGGCGGCGTCTGCGTGCTGGTGGCTTGAGGGTGGAAGTTAGATGCTGGCTGACAACCCCAGACCTCCGACGCCGTGGGGCGTTCCGACTGGGCGTTCTTTCCTACAGTCAAGGCGCTTAGTAAGGACGCGCGCCTTCATCTAGGGTGCCCTTGTGTCCTTGCCTCTGCGGCCGGTCCTTTGCCGTTTACACTGGCCCCTCCTGGGGTTGGGGTGCCTCTTGCGCCCCTAGGGTTGTGGTCACCCGCCTCCCAGAAAGCATCCTGGCTTCGGCCCCAGAGGGCGTCTTGCGTCCTCACCACCCTTCCTCAAGACACGCTCTGACCGTGTGATGCTCGGCCTCGCGGGCGGTCCTGCTCGGGCCCCCGGGGGGCCGTCGAGGTACGACCCCGGACGGCGCGCCGGCCCCAGGGAAGCGCAGGGCACTCTCTGGGCAGATCGAGCAGGGCCGCGGGGCCCGCGCCTCGGAGCGCCTGCCGTGGCCTGTGGGAGGTCTGGGGGCGCCGCGCACCCCCCCGCGCGCGGCGCCGGCGAGCGTCGGCGAGCGCCGGCGACGGAACAGGGCCTTTCTCCTCCCTCCTCCTCCTGCTCCTCCTCCTCCTCCTCCTCCTCCTCCTCCTCCTCCTCTCTCCTCCTCCTCCTCCTCCTCCTCATCCTCCTCCTCCTCCTCCTCCTCCTCATCATCATCATCATCATCATCATCCTCATCCTCATCCTCATCCTCATCCTCATCCTCATCCTCCTCCTCTTTGCCTCCTCCCCCAGGCAGAACTCATTGATGCCCCGTTGGCTCTTTCACAATACATAATACTGGTCGTAATAACGAGAATAACGATGGCACTGGTGATAATAATGTTAATAATAATGTTAATAATAATAATAATAATATTAATAATAATAATGATAAAAATGATAATAATAATAATAATAATAATAATAATAATAATAATAATACTAATAATAATAGTAGTAAGAATGATAATAATAGTAGTAATAATAATAATAATAATAATAATAATATGATAAGAGTAATAGTAGTAGTAATGATAATAATCGCACTAATAATAGTAATAATAATGATAGTAATAATCGTACTAATAATAATAATGATAATCATACTAATAAGAATACTAAGAATAGTAATAATAATGATAATAATGATGATGATGATGATGATGATGATGGTGATGATGATGAAACTAATAATAATAATAATAATAATCATAAAAATAATAATACTAATAATAATAAGAAGAAGAAGAAGAAGAAGAAGCGCACAAGAGAGTGCCAAGGAGGCCCCCAAAGAAGCCCCCAACACCGCCCAAGACAGGCCCAAGGAAGCCCTCGAGAAGCCCAAGTCATCGAAAAACTCTTAGGAAAATCAGTGATGTCTCCGTCTTCTGAGGCTCAGGCAAGAGCCCCAAGTGAAGATTTCTCTTTGAATCGCCCCGAGCGGCCCGAAGAAGCTCCCAGAAACACCCCTGAGGCCCCGAGCAGGCCCCTACGACACCCCGAAGACTGCCCCAGGGGGCGCCCAAGAGGCCCCCAGGGAGCCTCAGGAGGCGCCAGGGCGCCCCACCAGCCACCCAAGGGAGCCTCCAGAGGCCCCCACGAGGAGGAGGAGGAGGAGGAGGAGGAGGAGGAGGAGGAGGAGCAGGAGGAGGAGGCGGAGGAGGAGGAGGAGGGAGGAGGAGGAGGAGGAGGAGGAGGAGACTACTGGTATCATCAAAAACTGCGTTTTGATGACACCGCCTTTTGACAGCCCCGGCGAGCTTGCAAGAACCCTTCAAGAGACTTCCCAGACGTCCTCTGGTGGTCTAGCAGAGTCAGGAGGAGGGGACGGAGGACGAAGAGGAGGAAGCTTGGAGGAGGAGGAGGAGGAGGAGCAGGAGGAGGAGGAGGCGGAGGAGGAGGAGGAGGCGGAGGAGGAGGAGCAGCAGCAGCAGCAGGAGGAGGGAGGAGGGAGGAGGGAGGAGGGAGGCGGGAGGAGGGACGAGGGACGAGGGAGAAGGACCGCGAGGAGGAGGAGAAGGAGTAGGAGGAGGAGGAGAAGGAACAGCAGGCATGCGGAGTGAGGCATGGCGGGCGTGCCTGCGTGAGATATCGGCAGCCTCTGGCCCACAACCCAGGCACGGTGTAGCTACTCAGTGCAAACGGGAGTTTGGGGCGCGCTTACCCAGCATTCACAATTTCACGACGCGTCCATGAGGATGTCCACCCCCACATGATGACAACTGCAGGATGGATCCCATATCCATCCCTACTTGAATAGCTAAGTTGTGTTTGCGCTAGAGTCTAAGCGCACGCGAAGCGCGCGCCGTTCTAGTGTGCGCATGTATATATACATACACATATGCACACAAAACTATGTATCTACATATATATATATATATGTCCGCACACCTTTTTATGTTTGCATAGTTCCCTCTCTATCTATATATATATGTATCCCCTGTTTATCGTTCGACATATGTGTGCACACATTCATATATATATATATGTATATGTATATATGTCTACGTACATATATATATATATGTATACACACGCATGAGCGTATGAATCGTTTTACGCTGCCCATTGCAGCCGCCTCTTCCTGATGCTGGTCTTCGTGTACCCGAGGTGCTGTACTTGTTCCGGCGGGGAAAGATGGGGATCTGATTCCAGAGTTGTTCGGAATCCTTCGAACGACGACGAGGGCTTTCGGTGGGGTCTGCAGGTTTCCGGATACCTCCGGAGTAGGAGGATGATGGTGAGTATTTGGGTATTTGGGGAAGAGGGTGAAGGAGGCGAGGGATGAAGAGGAGGAGGAAGAGGAGGAGGAGGAGGAGGAGGAGGAGGAAGACGACAACCAAAACAATGGTGAGACTGCATTCGTGGCTGCCTCTGTCGACTCGATTCCCCTCCCCCAGGATGACGACCAGGAAGACAACCAAGGACACGCCTTCTGTTTCGGCTCCGCCCCTGCGGTGGGCGGATGAAGAGGGGTACGTAGGAGGAGGAGGAGGAGGAGGAGGAGGAGGAAGAAGAAGAAAGAAGAAGGAGGAGAGGAGGAAAAGGAGGAGCAGCAGGAAGAGTCTCTTCCAGCTCCGCCCCAGAGATGGAAGGGCGAAGCGGACGGGAAAGGAGGGCGGAGAAGGAACAGCAGCAGTAGAGAGGAGGAGGAGGAGGAGGAGGAGGAAGAGGAGGAGGAGGAGGAGGAGGAGGAGGAGGAGGAGGAAGAGGGGAGAGGAGGAGGAGGAAGAGGAGAAGGAGGAGGAGGAGGGGAAGGACTTGAGGTTATATGGCTTTGGGGGCGCCTTAACCCCGTTGGTGGGCCCAGCTACCTGGTGTCACCACCCTGTAGGGCACGGTGGCCCGTGTTGCCGCGCCTGGAGCGGTTGTGGCCGACGTTCCCCTCTCCTCTCTTGGGCCACCTAAGAAGGCCAGATGGAGCGCCGCGCCTGCAACGGCTGTGTGACCGACTCAAGGCCACCTAAGCAGGCCAGATGGGGGGGAAGGGGTATGTTGTGCCTGGGTGGGTACGTTTTGCCCGCCCAGGCGGCCCATAAGGCTGAAGCCTCAATCTCCGATTCACGGAATCGGTGCGCCATTGAGGGGTTGGTGAGTACCACTATTCACACTTCGTTCCGCGACGCTTTGTTATGTTCGGGCGTTGGCAATCAGCACCTTTTCTGCTTGAGCCAAAACGGCGTGGGGGGTCACCGATGACAGCGCACAACAGCGTTTATCCCACTGCGTGGGATGTGTGGTTTCTGAGCACAGAGCTTCCCATGTTTCAAGAATCGTTTGATCGAAGCCTGCCGCCTGCGTTGGAGGTCACTGTTAGCAACGCACAACATCGCTTAATTATCCCATCTGGTGGGATAAATGGTGTCTGAACACAGAGCTAACCTACTCATGCTTCAGGAACCCTTTGGCCCAGACCTATCGCCGGCGTCGGGTCGTACCGTTGGCACGACATCGCTTATCCAACTGAGTGGGATAGATGGTTTCTGACCACAGGGCTGACTTACTCATGTATCAGGAACCCTTTTGGTCAAGACCTCCCGCCGGCGTCGGGGGTCAAAGTTGGCACAACATCGTTTATCCCACTTAGTGGGATGGATGGCTTCTGAGCGCAGAGCTAATTCACTCATGTTTCAGGAACCCTTTGGTCCAGACCTCCCGATGGCGTTGGGTGTCACCATTGGCAATGCGGGGCGCCTTAACCCCGTTGGTGGCCCCAGCTATCTGGTGCCACCGCCCTGTAGGGCACGGTGGCCTGTGTTGCCGCGCCTGGAACGGCTGTGGCCGACGTTCCCCCCTCTTGGGCCACCTAAGCAGGCCAGAGAGAGGAGAAGGATGAGCAGCAGCAGGAGTGAGGAGAAGGATGAGCCGGAGGAGGAAAGGCTGGGGGGGGGTGCAAGGGTTCGGCGTATTTTTCAAGGAGGAGATGACGACTATGACGACGATGGCGATGACATCGTCATTACAGTCACACGCATAGTAAGGGTGAGCCACTTTTCAAGGCTGCCCTTGCATCCTTCCCCTTCGGCCCATCCGTGGCCACGTTCGCTAGCCGCGCCCCGCTCGCAAAGTGTCGACATGGCCTTCCCAGGCCCTTGCATCCTTATCGTGCGTCCTTGTTTCGGGGGCGAGCGAGGGCGGGAAATAATAAAGAGAAGGCCTTCTCAGCAGGCGGCGGCACTTCTAAGAAGCCCTCGCGCTTTCTAAGAGGTTTTCTGTGTCTCTGGGAGGTTCGAAAAATTTTCTGAAGGCCAGGGGACTTCAGAGCCTTCTGAAAAGGCTCACCCCTTCTCCCTTCCCCCCTTGGCTCGCCGCCGATTATTATGCGGTTGACTGCATCATCATCATCATCATCATCATCATCATCATCATCATCATCATCATCATCATCATCATCATCATCATCATTATCATTATCATCATCATCATCATCATCATCATCATCATCATCATCATCATCATCAGAAGCACCAGCAGAGGCGGGAAGACAAGCGGGAGGAGCTCTGGGGGGAAGCAGCAGC